AAAACAACCTATTTTTTTTTTGTAATCTCTTATTCTTCTTCTGATAAAGTCCATTTTTTTTTGTTTTTCTAACCCAGTTTGTATGGAGGTACTGAGCGTCATAGATTTAAAAATGTCGTTCTTTGCATGTTAATTACAGTGTATTAAAACATATTATATTATTTAATTAAAAGGTTTAAACTGTTCCATCATTTCAACAAATTTAAAAGTTTGGCTTCTCATATATAAAAAGATAAAAGAAAATGACTGCGACTTTAATATTAAAGTTTACTTAATATTGTTATGCTAAACACATAACATTTAAATTTATACATTTTCAAACACATATTATACTTTCACTCTTCTATTATATAAGATTATTTTTTAAGTATTGATTTTCATACAAAATAATTAGTTTATTAAATGATTCAAAATGATTGACTAACAAATATAAATTATATAAAAATTACTTTAAAAAAAACATCTTTTCTCCCGCGCGTTTACGCGCGGGGTGGTTTCCTAGTATCTTCTAATACCAAACTAGAATGATAATTTAGCTGAAAAGACAAACAAAAGAAAACTCAAATTTAATAAACATTAAATAGTTTTACGCGGAAAATAGAAGGAAAAAAAGCATGCTAATGATTACATTTTTGCCCATTTATTCAAAAACTTCATAGGTTTTCCATTTCCCTCAAAGTAAACACCATCATTTTTAGCAATCCATGCGAGAACTCCTGTATTACATGGAAGTTTTTGAAAGTTTTTTCCCACTGCAATACCATAACGATCCGTTGGAGGTCCTTTATACAACACACATGCCCAAGATCTTGCATTGCCCGAACCAGCGTTATATTGTTGTTTCTCATTAAATTTTAAAACTCCGCGTCGAACAATAGGGTGCACACAGTGAAATATCAAAATCTGACCAGGACCGAGGTTGTTTCGAACTTCTACCATTTGACGGTGGCAATTTCTTACTACCGGTAGCGCTTCACCCAGTCCACTATACATAGCAGTAACAGTAACTAACACAAAAGGTATAAAATTCTTCATTTCTCTTTTGAACAATTTTTTTTGCTTTGAATTAGTGACTATAAAACATATAAACAAGTGTAGTATTTAAACACATAAAAGTAACATCATGAACATGTTTTTCGCTTTAACTATAAATAAGTGTCATGGCTTTATCTAAATTTAAGCACAAGTATAAACCAAATACTTCTATGGCCAAAAGAGATTCCAATGTCGAAAAGCAAGGTTGGCCAATAAAATCAAACAATAATAAATTAGAGAAGCTTTCATGGTCAAACCTACCTCACTTGGTTGTTCCTCACGCAAATGTCTTACACATTTTTGTTTGTTTGTGTTTCTGTCTCTCTTTTTCACTCTTTCGAAAGTGTTTTTGTTTCATTTCAAAAGCTCGATTTTTCGAAAAGGGTTACGAAACTACTACCAAACTTGTAAAGGTATATACTTTGTTTGCAGTTTTATCACGTATGCCTCAAGTGAAGGGAAGTTGTAGTTAGTAGTCTCTCTCTCGGAGCCGGGCTGAACCCATTTCTGTGAAACATTTGAATGGACCCTAACATTCGAAGGGTCCCCAATTTTTTTTTAAATTTTTTTTGTTAGCTTAAAAATTATATATTTTTAATATAATGTACAATAATATATAATTTTTTCAAATATACATATATAATTAAAATAATAAATGAGCTATAAATGTATATAATGCAATATTATATAAGATATGTGCAATAAATTTATTTAAGTATTTTAATTTGATTATAAAAAAAAATTGTAAGTTCAAAAAAAAATTAGTATGGGACCCCAAATTTTATAGGCCCGGCCCTGTTCTCTCTCTTTTTCTTTAGTATGGTTTAAGAGATCTCTCACTTGAGCTTTTTTTTTTTTTTGTGTGATCGTCGTATAGAATATGAAAAATCAATTGATTGTTGATCTTAAGTTCGTTCTTCCTGGTAAAGAAAGACAAGACTCTGTTCACAGTGGACTCCAGATTTGTACCTGAAGAAACATTTCTAAAATTCTATTATTGCTCTAGTTAGTTAATATCAAGCTTAAAGATTAGTTCCTTTTTCTTTTAAAAGGAAATTGATGTGAACTCTGAGCTTGTTTGCTGGAGTTTTGGTCTCAGACCACTTTGTTCTCTTTAATAGGTGATCAAACCTGAATTGTTGAAGAGAGGATTAGAGCTTGTGAAAAGGTTTTGTAAACCTTAAATTAATGAGATCTTTATTAAAATCAGTCAAACAAGAAAGAATGATTGTTGTTTGTGTAATGTATCTGAAACAGAGAAGGTCTAGAGGTAACAGATGATGTTTCGATTGTTGAATACCTCAAAACATCCAGTTTATGTCACGCAAGGATCTTACACAAACATCAAGGTACAAAAGAAACACTTGTTTAACCTTTTTACCGCGGTGACAGAATGAAATTTTTTTTACATCTTTTGATTTGTCTTTTTTCTTTTGTCCGTTACAACACCTGATGTTCTACTGCTTGCTGAGAGAAGATTGAGCATAGACTCATGAGATATATCATTACATGAGTATATTTTTTTAATATCAATTTTGTGACATGAAAATGTTCATAGACCTATATTGTTCAAAAGAACAAAAAAGATATATGATATTTCATATTGTGAATACTTTTTTTGTTTGTTTCTGGGTGTCGAATGAATTTCTTTGATTTTTCAAACAGTATATACAAAAGATTTTGATTTAGTTTCAGTTTAGATCATTCGTTTATGGTTGAAATAATTGTATTTGTAGGCAATAATGTTCTGTTTCATGGTTAAAAAAAAAATCTGAACACAAAAGTATAAAATCAAAGAGAGAACACAATTTTTTTTTATTATTACCAAGATTGATGATAGAAATGCAGAGCTATAATACAGAACATGTTTTATGTTTATATGTATTGTATTTATAATTTTGGTGGTGGGCATGCGGGAGTACAAATTATTGGGATTGGGAACTGCTCCACTAAGACCTCTGCATCCTGGTTTGGTGACGGAGAAACTGGCTCGGGTGGGAACTGGATCGGTTTAGACTCGAACTGAAAAGGCTCGGTTCTAGCCTGTGCGAGACAAGATGCAAGAAGAAGCAGTGTAACCACCATTGTCATTGCAAAGAGCTTCATGATCTTGATCATGTTTGTGTTGTGATTGTAAAATTAATGTTTAGCCCAGTTTGCTTATTTATATTGCTGTGAAATTGTGCCCAAAAAGGAAGCAGTACAATATGTATATTACTGGAACTAGGATGAAGCAACATAACTTATACTAGTTGACAGAAATAAAAAGTAGTTATAAGCCAAATGGCATAATGATCAAAAACAAAATATATAGCATATTAACATATTAATGTCTATGGATTTTTGGGGGAGTAAGCCAAATGGCATACTGACCAAAAACAAAATATATAGAACATTAATGTGTATAGATTCTTAGGGGAGTAAGTCAAATGGCATATTGAACAGCAACTATATAACATATTGATGTGTATTGGTTGTTTTAGCAAAGTAATCCAAATGGCCACATGTAGACCAAAAAGATACTAATATGTAGCACCTTCTATACCTAAATTTATACAATCCTTTTAAAAATTTAAATCTTTAATCGTAATACCATTTAAAACCAAAATCATTTGTTTTCTTTGATAGTTATAAATTTTAGCAATTTTGTATAGTTTAATTTTTGATAATTAAACTATTATATCAATTTTAAGAAAAACAATTATACAAAATGATTTGATATTAACCAAAAAAAAATCTATCTAATGTATGTATCTATTCTTAAATATAATTTTTAAAATCAAATTATTTGTTTTATCTTAATTTTATATCTACTAATAATAACAATCCCTATTAATTCCAAAGGTTGTGAATCCCCATGAAGTTAAAAAGTTGTGTTTTCATTTTTAATATTTATTTTTTCTGAAACAATGTGTCCGTTCAAAAGTTAGTTAATTTGAAAAAAATTGTCTATTCAAAATTTTTAATACTTCAATTTTTTTGAAACAACATGTCCATTCAGAAGTTAGGTAACTTGAAAGAATGTGTCTATTCAAAATATATATATTTTCTGAAAAGATGTATCTATTAAAGGTTGTGTTTTAATTTTAATATTTCATTTTTTATATATAATGTGTCTGTTGAAAAAAAGTTAGTTAATTTGAAAGAATGTGTTTTTTCAAAAAAAAAAAATATTTCACTTTTTTTTAAACAAATGTGTCTGTTCAAAAGTTAAAAGTTAGTTAATTTGAAAAGATATTTTTATTGTTCGCCATCTTTAAAATTGGTGAAAATTTTAGTTTAAGAAAATTGTAGACATAAACTATATATAGATGTTCAACGAACTCATTGAAAAAATTACAACTTTTCAATTATAAACAATTATTTTAATGAATAGTCACAACTTTCTATTTTATGTAGTTAATTGAATAGTATTCTTATAATATATATAACTTGGATAGATACATTTTTTCAGAAAATATATATATTTTGAATAGATATCTTTTCAAGTTAATTAACTTTTGAACATACACATTTTTTTAAAAAAAATGAAATATTAAAAGATTTGAAAAATACACATTCAAATTAACTAAACTTTTTCAACCGACACATTATTTAAAAAAAAATGAAATATTAAAAATTTAAACAACCTTAAATAGATACATCTTTTCAGAAAACATATATATTTTGCATAGACACGGGTATCACCCAATCAAGTATGATACCCTCGTAATAGTTTACGATGCCATAATACTAAGAGGCACGAGGTTGAAGTGAACGGTTAACCGGTTAGGTAATATATTTGCATGAAATGGTCACACAAGTCTGGATTCTATTTGTCCTTTTGTTGTTATTTCTTTACGCAAGGAAGGAAGAGAAATAACTGTTTCTGTGATGAAAAGTCACACTGATTCATGTGGTTTTACGTAGATTAATAAAATGGGTTGTTGATCAAGTCACAAAATGATCATAATCATTTACGTAATGGATTTTGCATGAATGCATATTAATAAATCCATTGAAAATCACGTTGGTTCATGTGTGCATAATGATTGTTTGTTTAAAAGGCTCGACGTGAAACCTGGTTCTTACGATGACAAACGTAAAGACACATACATGAATAAAGTGTTCTTATTCTGGAATTTGTTAGTATGCTCTTTCCATCATCACGCATGAAAGTTTCTGGAATCCTTATGACGGTTAATGAAAAGACATGTCTCTTGGAGTATCAAAACTATAATATAATTAAAGAATTTGTTGGAAAGTTACAACTTTTATTGAACAGGCACATTGAAAGTAAAACTTTTCAAACTATAATTAATTTTTTAATGAATAATCACAACTTTTTAGTTATAAATAGTTAATTGAATAGCTCTCTTACAATATATATAATTCGAATAGATACATATTCAGAAAATATATATATTTAAAATAGATATCTTCTTTTAAACTAATTAACTTTTGAACCAACGCATTTTTCAAAATATAAATTTGAAAAATATATCTTTCTAAAGTAACTAACTTTTGAATGGATACATTGTTTCAAAACAAACTTAAAATATTAAAAATAAAAACACAACTTTGGACTTAATGGTATTTTTTGTTGACAACGTTTCATTTGAATATCTTCTAACAATTTGTATTTAGGTAATTTCACCATACTTTTAATTTTTACCATTTTTAGATTAGTGAAAATTTTAGTTTCAGAAAACTATACACATAGACTATCTTATACAATAAAACTAACTTTTCTCTCTTCTCATGCTGCCACATCAGCAGAGAGCATGGGGCAAAAAAAGACACCTCAGCAATTACTCATTGAAATTGACCCAGAAAATTTAAGTCTTTGCGTCTTGGTTTGTAGTAGGTTTAGTATACCGGTTTAATGTTAGATCTTGAGCTAGAGATTAGTTAAAGGCCCACCTTTCTCTAGAATCGTCCACGTCAGCAAGAGAGAGGTGGGCGTTTTTTTTTGTGACACATTCATATTAGTTCCAGAAAATGTGTAAAATATTCAAATTTAATGAATTATCTTTTCTTTACACTTTTCCATGAACAAAATAAGATATTTTCGGTTTTTTTTTGTAATTCCTTCATATTTGATATGTTATATTAACTTCACATTTTTATAACAACAACAAGTATTTCTTTCCCGGTAAAATTACGACCTTTTTTTGCCGGTAAAATTACAAATTATCTCTTTGAGAATCTGCTAAAACTTTTTTTATAAGCTTTTTTAAGAAAGAGTATAAAACAAACCATACAGATATTATTTTTTTTTTCTTAACTTTAGAGTTAGTTAAATAAAATGAAACTACTCAAAATTTGATAAGTTTATAGATAAATGAGTAATAGTTATATTTTAAGATATTTTTAGTTACACATATGAAAATTTCTGTTTAAAA